TTTATTCCAGGCAAACTGTGGTGGAAAACTCTGATGACAGAAATGGAAGGACATGGCCACAGCTCCTCTTATAGAAGCATTATATATATGAGGGGTCAACATAGCCATAGAAGTGCTAGATAAGAAGTGGGCACATCTTCAATGTTTGTTTATATTTTTCTACAGGTACAGCTACAATTCCCCAAAAGGACTGAAATCTCTCCCATCTTTTGTACAGAACTCCAAAAAGCATATAAAGGTTTTTGTGGGTAATATTTTTTACTGGACCAGTGGTACAGTGATACCCCAAAGTTTGTCTATTTCCCACCCAACTATATAGTTGGTCTAATAAAAGACCTTTGCTTCTCCCATTTTTCCTGGACCATCACAGCTACAATAACCCCCCCAGTGCTCCCATAAAGGTGAAACCAATTCCTGAATTTCTCATAAGTGAAACTATTCAGAAACTACCTGGTATAAGATGGTTTGCTTTGCACCTTTCCTGCAACAATTATGCTCTATTTGGCCCAACATCTATAGTAGGTTTTTTCCCTTCTCTTATTCATTAAAACATTCCCTTCTCTTATTCATAAAATATCATTGAGCTGCTTCAATTCTGCAGTTATTATTCTACCCATCATTTCTTTAAAAAACTCTTTTTAATATGTCAAGAAATGGCTCTTTGTTCTGATCTTCAGTTTTGTAACACTATGCCAGTGTTACCAGCTTGTTTGGACTCCCTAGGATTTGTCCACTGGAAGCATTTATTTTCTTTGGGCTTGAATCTTCAGCAGGCTGAGCACTTAATTATATTAAAGTTGTACTCACAATAGTGCTATATACTTTGAATGTTTGTTTATATTTAAAAACCACGAAAAAAATGTTTATCTTAGATTGAGTATTTTGTGATTTGTAAGCTTAAAAGCAAAAACAAAAGCATAAGAGGATATAAGTATTTAAATCAGATACAAAATAGATGATAAAATATTTATGACTTACTGATAAATGGGAGAGAAATGTATGTGTATTACATTTACAAAGAATGTGTATTGCATATAAACCAATAAAGAACTGAAGAATTGGGCCTTTACCTTTGAAAAACTAAACAAGTACAGGTTTTCCTCACATTATGCTGTACATGTGTTCCTGGAAAACGGCACATAACTCAATTTTGCATAAAGAGAGCCCACTTTACAATGTAACAAATACAGATAGGTTCCAACACCTTGACTGTACTGACCCCAGACCCATTTCTCCCACTTTTACAAGACAATTTTCGTACTCACCAATAGCAGACAGTGCACACAAGCACAGGGCACTATCATGGGGATGGCAACTACAGAAACACATGTTGCAGACAATGAGCGAGGAGCACAAATCCACACAGGAGACTATATTTTGGTGTGCATCAGTCCCACAATGCACCACACAAAGCAGCTGACCATGGGCTTCCACCACACAGATCACGTAAGAGTGAATTTACCTCGCATATAACACATTTTTGGTATCAAAAAGGTCATTACATAAGAGCAAATTCACACATACAGAACCCACATAAAGCGAGGAAAACCTGTACTTCACATTCAGCATGGGAGGAACCCACTGAAGCACTGGGGTGTTGATCCTTTCTGCAGCTCATTGAACTACTTAAAAGGGCTGGAGTAGTGTAAAGGGGCCATAAAACCTGCTGATTCAACTTAGGTTAGGATTTGTAGAAGCCTGCCATAAGGTTCTCTCTTGAGCATCTCCCCATGAGCACTGATGTAGGAGCATCCTGTACGTAGCCAAGGGTCAAAGAAGCATATTATGAGTGAGGTGCAGCATGCAGATTCGAAGAAGTACTGAAACCTATAGAAAAATTCAGGGTGGTTGCTGTAACACAGTGGGCCTTCCAGGGTTGTCTAATGTATGTCAGAGGTTTCACCTAATTTCCAAAATAGTACAGAATTTTGTGTAAATAGTCACCATAGCAAATCCCTGGTATCCTCACCCTACCCTTGTGCTGTAAGAAATGGTCTCCTATGAAACAGAAATATTTGGTTCTCATTCTGGACTATCTTTGTTTTGTCTTACTTTTAGGCAGAAAGTTGTCTTGATGATATCATCTTGTCCTGACAGGTTCAAGACAGGCACGAGCTTTCATAGACAACAGACTCCTTTATCAGCTGCTATTATTTATTATCATCTGATGAAGTAGTCAGTTGTCTACAAAAGCTCATGCCTCTCTGAACCAGTTCTCCTGGGCTATCATCTAACAAAGTAAGTTGTTGTCTACAAAAGCTCATTCCTGTATGGACCTGTTAGTCTCTAAGGTGACGCCCTGCCCTACATTCTGCCTGACTTCAGATTACTGCAGCTAACCAACTCTCTGGTCTTAGTTTTAGTTCCATTACCCCTGCTCCCCTACTTCAGATGTTTAGAATAAACTTTGTGTTTAATAAATAATATGCTAATCAAGTGAAACATCACTGAAACAACCCTCTGTTATACACCACAATTTAATCACATCTGTTCCTGACACAACGTTAATCAAATTGTTCTGCAGCCATTAACAGTGGTTCTTCAGCTAACATTATTCAGGTTATCGGAGAAGAGGACAGAGCAGACACTTGTTTCATTAATGTTTCTTTACTGTTTCCTCTTTACTTGACTGACCTTTACATGATAACTTCCTTCCTAGCTGTGAGCAAAAAAGGACTTTATGAAGCAATTAATGTCTATTTAGCAAATCACTTAAATAGATAAGAGATAATAAATTACTGTATTTTCTCAACGCACCTCAAATTAAAATACACACCTTATTTTAGAAAGTCAGAATGAAAAAAATTTTTTTTTCCAGAGTTATGGCTGCATAGAACAGGGGCAGAAACTAAGTTTCTGCTGACTTATCCTCCCTTTTCTGCTTAATTAAAAGGTGGAACCTTAGCTGCTACTAAAGGATGGGGTCCATGGGTGGGTCTATGATTTTGAAAAGCTCTAAAGAGTCTCCAGGGCTGTGAAATAGCAGAAGAGAGATCAGAAGCAGCTAGCAGATAAAAAAAAAGTCTCAAGAAAGGCTAGCTTGATTAGTAGGACATCAAGAGCAAAACAAGGACAGACAACTGTTAACGTGTAGAGTGAAGAACAAGGAGCTATTAAATCAACTGAATCCCACAGCTGTCTGAATAGAAATGCCACAGTGACTGTACTGTGGGGTAGTAATTCAGCCCAGGGTATTTCTACTGTGGGCGGAAGATTAGCTTCCCAGTTTATGACACAGCTTGAGGGGAGGGAAGGGAGGCTATATTTTGCGGGGGGAAGTGCATGTGATATATAAGTAAATATGATACGGCTATTATGGAATTTACTTACCCATACGTCCACCTTGAGGGGGGCTTATCAATGACAATCTTGCTGGACCAGTTGCTGTCTCAAGCTAAAGGCATGGAAAATTATTGATAATAGAAAAAAATGTGTTTTTTATATCATTAAGGTATTTCAGTAAGTCAGTTATAATGCTTTTATAAAGCATGAAAGTAAAACATTTTAAATACTTTGATTCATAAATGTTTGAGTCAGAAGGGACCTCAGTAGATCATCAAGTCCAACCACCTGCCCTGGGCAGGAAAGAGCACTGGGGTCACATGACCCCAGCCAAATGCATGTCTAGCTTCCTCTTAAAGACCCTCACCTTCCCTGAAAGCCCATTCTAGATTCTGGCAACCCTTACCATAAAGAAGTTCTTCCTGATGCCCAACCTAAATCTGCTTTCTGTCAGTTTGTGGCGGTTGTTCCTAGTTACTCTAAGGGGTGCCCTGGTAAACAGAGCATCTCCTATTCCTTGCTGCCCCCCCCCCAACCTTACGAATTTATATTGTTCAAATGTCAATCTCACTCTTAACAATAACTTCATATATATCAGTATCTGTTATTTAGCATTCATGACATTAGAATACAGGGCAGGACACTGACTTTATTTTTACAAATAAATCTTTACATAGAAACTTTTAACCCAACCAGGATATAGAAAAACTGAGATTTATATACATAAAATGAACTTACTTTCCTCACTGGGAAAGGTACAGGATCAATCTCCATCTCCTCCCCCCTGGGAATAGAAATCAAAATATATATGTATATTATGGGAAATATATTAAAATCAAATAAATGTACTGAAAATGAAAAATATTTGTCATATTTGTCACACTACTGTGCAATAGCGCCAGTGCATGGCTTTTTAGTGATGCTAACTACGCAGTAGCCAAATATTACTGTGCAGTAGGGCTGTGCCAAGGTTCGGTCACTGATTCAATTCAGAGGAGATTTGGCCCAATTTGGAGGCTGAATCTCCGAATCCAAATTGAATCAGGAGACCCATTAATCTCTCTGAATCGAATCGAAAGCCTCCGATTTGACTCAGAGAGATTCAATGATTCGGACACTAAAATAGTAAATAGTAACCAAGGGCCAAATACTATTCTGTGCAATCCCACTGATGGGAAACAGGTAAGAATTATGACCCTGATTCAGTAATATTTAGGCATGTGCTTTACTTTAAATGTATTTTGCCACTGAGTTTAACAGAATTATTTTTGCATTTAATGTTAGGTATGTGCTTTAAGACACTACTGAATTGAGGCTTATTCCAGGAAAATAGTCATATTTACTGCTTAGCTGGAATCACAGAATGAATGCATTGATCACTGAAAAGGGTCTAATTTCTTCTCCTTTATTTCATTATAGAGGGGAAACTCGATGTCAAAAATAGAAAATGCATTGTTATCGATATTTGGATTCACCACCAAAGGATACACATTCAGCTTCAGAAATAGGTATGTGTACATTTAAAAGACATTGGATAAGTGATAATTGCAAATCTTTTACCATTCTTAAAATTTATACTGAAAATTAATGGATCTATACCTACGTTTCAGAGGTTGATGGGTGATTGAGATGAAGGGAGTATGAAGAAAATGCATTCTGTTTTGCTGAAGAAACTAAAGTAATTAATAAAACAAAGGTAAAAGCACTGTTACTATCAGTGATTTTGCATTTTATATTTAATATTTTAAAACAGTATTTCTCTTACTAGCAACTGGTTTTCTACCTGGAGTGGACACTGGTGGTCTAGCAGTTTGTTGAGGTCTGATACTAAATTCAAAATAAAAAGGAAGACAGAATATAGAGTAAACAAAAAAGTTTGTTTAATTAAGTAGTTTCTAATTATCAAAATACAGTTACCTATCTATAGTTACCTATCTATCTTTCTTATTATAATACTTCAGTTCCCCATATAGTTACCTATCTATAGTTCTTATTACAATACTTCAGTTCCCCATAAGACAAAGCAATACATATACTGAGCTATAAAGAATATCATATATGTGTAGCACCCACACACACATTTAGTTGCTGTATATTGTGTTTTATGTGGGCAAGATGGCCCTCTCACATGGAAAGCTGGGGCCTGTGTCTGGGTAAAATATGTAAAACCCTCTGGCCTCATTGGGCAGAGGAAGCAGGGGATTCTTCAGGCAGAATGGGAGAAAGACTTCAGTGTGGCACTCCCTGACTGGACAAGGCCAAGGTGATGCCATGAAAACAGAGAACAGTTAAGAAGCTCTAAAATGTATAAGCACTCACCAGCTCATAAGTAAACTACTATTTGTTTCTACACATGTGTCAGCAGCAAGAAGAATATCAGGAAAAGTGTGGATCCCTTGCTGAATAGGGGAGGCAACCTAGTGGCAGATGATGCGGAAAAGGCTGAAGTATTCAATGCCTTTTCCGCCTCATTCTTCACAGGCAAGGTCAGCTCCCAGACTACTGCATGAGACAACACAGTTTAGGGAGAAGGTGAGCAGCCAACAGTGGTGAAAGAACAGATTTGGGACTATTTAGAGAAGTTTAGATGTGTAAAAGTCCCTGGCTCCTGCAATACATCAAAGGGTGCTAAGGGAGCTGACTGATGCGATTGCAAGGTCACTGGTCGTTACCTTTGAAAACTTGTGGTGGTTGGGAAAAGTCCTGGATGATTGGAAAAGAGCAAATATAGTGCCTATCTTGAAGAAAGTGGAAGAGGAGGATTCAAAGTACAACAGACTGATCAGCCTCACTCCAGTTCCTGCAAAAAATTACAGAGCAGGTCCTCAAGGAATCTCTTTCTAAACACTTGTAGAAGAAGGTGATTAGGAACAGTCAGCATGGATTTACCAAGGACAAGTCCTGCCTGACCAACCTGATTGTCTTCTGTGATTAAATGACTGGCTCTGTGGGTATGGAGAGTCCACCAGTGGAGGTGATATGCCTCGATTTTAGCAAGGTCTCCAACATTTTCACTAGCAAGCTAAGGAAGTATGGGTTGGATGAATGGACTGTAGAGTGGATAGAAACCTGGCTGGATCATTGGTCTCAAAAGGAGCCCACCAACATCAATGACTCAATGTCTAGTTAGCAGCTGGTAGGGTCTACTTAGCAACAGGAGTTGGTCCTAGGACTGGTTTTGTTCAATATCTTTATCAACAACTTGGAAGATGGGATGGCATGGACCCTCGGCAAGTTTTCAGATGATGCCAACCCAGGGCGAGTAGTAGATATGCTGGAGGGTAGGGCTGGGATTCAGAGAGATCTTGTCAAATTGGAGGATTGAACCAAAAGAAATCTCATGATGTTTAATAAGGACAAGTGCAAAGTCCTTCTTAGGATTGAACAATCCCATGCACTGCTATAGGCTGGGAGCTGGTTGGCTAAGCAGCAGCTCTTCAGAAAAGGACCTGGGGGTTACAGCGAACAAGAAGCTAAGTATGAACCAACAGTGTGCCCTTTTCGTGATGAAGGGTAATAGCATACTTGCTTGCATTAGCAGGAACGTTGCCAGCAGATCAAGGGAAGTGGTTATTCCCCTCTATTCAGCACTGGTGAGGCCACATCTGGAGTACTGTGTTCATTTTTGGGTCCCCCACTACAGAAAGGATGTGGACAAATTGGAGAGAGTCCAGTGGAGGACAGTGAAAATGGTGAGGGGGTGGGGCATGTGACTTCTGAGGAGAGGCTGAGAGAACTGGGTTTATTTAGTCTGGACAAGAGAAGACTGAGAAGAGATTAATATCAGCCTTCAACTACCTGAAGCGGGGTTCCAAAGAGGAGGGAGCTAGACCTTTCTCAGTGGTGGCAGATGACAGAACAAGGAGCAACGGTCTCAAGTTGGAGAAAGGCAAGTTTAGGTTAGATATTAGGAAAAACTTTTTCACTAGGAGGGTAGTAAAGCCCTGGAACAGGTTACCCAGAGATACTGTGGAATATCCATTCTTGGAGGTTTTTAAGATCTGAGTACACAAAGCTCTGGTTGGGATGTTCTAGTTGGGGACGGTCCTGCTTTGAGCAGGGGGTTGGACTAGATGACCTGCTGAGGTCCTTTCCAATCCTAATGTTCTATGATTCTATGAAGGTGAGCTAGGCTGGTTTGGGGGAGAAGAAGCTGCTGGCAGCTGCCTGCTAAAGAGTGGCATCTCCTTCAAGGGAGAATGAGTTGCAGATAGTGAAAAGGGAAGCCTGTGTAGAGGGGAGAGAGAGGGAGAATTGTCCCAGTATCTGGAAACTCCTCTCTTTTCCTTTTCTTCCCCTTTTTTCTTTAGAAGGTTTAAGGGAGTAATATTGGGGAAATGAGTACTGGCTCTTGGGTTTGCTGGCCAGGAGTAAGGCCTAGCAGTTTAAATAAGGTTGAAATCTGAGAGCTTCTAATACTGCCAGTTTTGGGCCAGAGTTGAGGCTTGCAACTTTCTGCTCCCTGTGTAGCTGTGACCCAAACTACCTTCAGCCTAGCCTAGAGGGTGAGCCTGGTCTTTCCCCTTGTTTCTTTGATAATCCTTTGCTCTAGCCATGCTGTGTGGTTGGGCTGGCTGTAGCCATTAATCAACCTGGCTCCTTTTAGAGCTTTTCCTGCAGTTTGTTTCAGCAGGCCATATAAACTAGCCCAGAAGTTTTGGGCTGTGTGCATTCTGTCACTCCCCACATACACATACAGCCTCTCTGGGGGAGCAAAGATTGGCATGCTACCATTCTTCCAAGAGCAATGAGGGGCCCCTTGCTCTGCAGAAGGACCCATGATTTCTAGCAGGTTCCCCTGATGCAGTGCAACCTATAGACTGTCTTGTAGTTAGTAGTGTTTTATATTGCATTTGATGTTTTCCCTTGTTTTCTGTAATAAATCTGTCTTTTGTGTGTACACTGCTTGTGAGGAGGGGTTTTTTGTTTATGCAGGACACCGTAACAGTTCATTTAGTGTGGCAGACTTACTGATTCAGCCCAGCTCAAACAGACTCAGACACTCTTGTTTTTGATTGGTGGAGCCCGTCTACCAATCAGGTAAGGGCTGGGCAGGGCCAGCCCCAGCCCTCACATGGAGGGAGTGTCATGAGCCGCCCAGACCTGACTGAAGCCTGCATTCCTCAGGTCCAGCAAGCCTTAGGAGGTGGAGCCTCCGGAGTGAATAAAAGGAGCTGCATGCCCAGTATGTGGGAGATGTGTCAAGAGACAAAGAAGCAGACTGGGCTAAGAAGAGCTAGGGAAAACTGCCCAGAGTGTGGAAGCAGTAGCCCAGAAGAGCCCTGGAAGACCCCCTCAGCAGGACCAGAGCAGCAAGCCTAGGTGTCAGGACACACACAAGGTGGCCTGAGCCCCAATTGAGGACAGAAGGCAGGGCCCTGGGCAACCTCAACAAAGCACCCATGGCTCCGGGAGGCTTCCCAGCCTGGTCCCTGGATCAATGAGTACCCAGGAAATGGATCCCCACAGGGTAGAAAGCCCTGAAAGGGGGTCCTGAGGGATCAGGAACCAGGTAGGCCTGTCTGCTGGTGAGGAGGTATTGGGACTCTCCTCCCCCTAGGAGGGTGCCATGGGTTGGCACCCTAGTGGAACACCCAATAGTCTCAGCCTCATGGGTTCCCTCAAAGGGGAGGAAAGACTTGCATCTCCCATTTTGTAAATAGTTATATAGATATATAGATATATACATATATTGTTATGCTCCAATGTGGCCTGGGTTATGTCAGCAAGTTGAGGTTTATTTGTATTTAATTATTGTTATTGTTCTTATCTAAAGTTATGTATTGATACCTGTGTTTATCTGCCTAGTTGTGTTGTTGTTGCACATATTTACCAATACTTTCTTATAAATCTGTAAAAATCTGTATCATTTGTATATTAATAGCTATCTTTTTAAAGTTTCCTGTAAACATTAATAAATTTGTATATAGTTAAGCTATTCCTGGTCCTGACCTGACTATAGGGAATAGAGGGAACTTGCCAGTATTTTACAGATCCAGATCCCTCTGACTGTACTTCTGCCTAGCTACCTATCTCTTCTGCTTGGAGAGGGGAGCACATAGTTGGGTGTGCCCAGGATACATTAGTGTTCCCAGATTTCTGGGTGAGGTCTCAAGCCATGTATATAATTTATGAGGTACCCCAAAACGTGAACCTAGCCATTGTGCTACTGACTGGTGCTTAGGAGAAGGGTTACACATGCATTACTGTGTGATAACATGTTACAGTGTCATCCTAAGTACATATTGTTGTGCATGGAGGAATCGGTACTGGCAACTTAATACTGATCTGATGTAATTTACAGCTAATCATTTGACTTACCAACATAAAAAGGGATCTGATCTTAAATTCTTTAAATTTCTCAGGAATTGGAACTTGTGGCAGAGGTGATATCTTTTGTTAGATCAACTAGATTTTTGCAAAAAAAAATACTTTAAATTTCCCGTTGAATTATTTGCCATAAATACTACCTTTCTTCTGAGCAGTGAACAATAGCTTGCTGCAAAACCTCCATAACAAATCAAACTTCAAGTTTCTAAGACCTGCTATTTTTTATATCATAATTTAAAGAGAGAAAGAGACATAAACTCTCTAAACAGACTTTTGCCTGGCAATCAAACTCCTTGGCATACCTCAGAACTCCTGACATTCAAGTTCATATTCTATCTATCACTTCAGAGACTCACCTGAAATTATTGAAAAATAATATAGTCTGGACACTTTCCTTTATACCAAATTACATTTTTTAATAAGGGGGAAAAACTGTGTTTCTTGGAAAAAAATGTCACTAATCCAGGTTAAAACAAAACTTATTTCTTAATCATTAGAACCCTAATATAAATATATTTGCTGGGACCAAATTCAGATGTGGTTATAGAAAAAAAATCACCTTTCCTTTCCTTCATTAATGCAGTAATGACTAAAGGTGAAACTGCATTTAGTTTATTATTTGCTTGTTTTTAGCTACCAAATGCAAGCACAGTGCTTTAGTATAGTCTCAACTGGTTATTAGAATAATGTTATGCACTTTGATGCAAAAAAACAGGGATTTTAATAAGGTATCCTTCTGCACCCAAACAAATCTCATTTTCTTACGCACGTCATATGACATTCTTATGCCACACACATTTTTTTTTAATGGGAATAAAGACACAAAAGTTTGGATGTTTCAGGCTCAGAAATCTTGCAAGTTCACTTTTTTTCAGACTTATACCATGTCCCAAGAAATCACAATGCATGTTTGAAAGTTTACTGACTAAATGAATGCAAGACTACTCTGTCAGCATGTTAAGGCTAGTAAATATTGCTGACACTGCTATTCTTGTACTAATTTCAACCAATTTAGCAATAACGTGATATATACTGCAAATTTGCAAGCAAAATACATCATGATTCATCTGGCTTTGAATGCCATCTTGCTGCAACTAAGACAGAAGAATGTGCTAATATCCCAGCAAAGTTCTCTAGGGTGTCTTTAGAAGCAGAGAAAGTCAGAGTTCCTTGCTTACAAAAATGGGCCCCCAGCAATTTCTGAGAACCCTAGAAATTGCCAGGGGTACATCTCTGCCAACAGGGAACACACTGCCCATCAACCCACAAGATCAACAGGCAGGACAATGGGTGAAAGGGAAACTGGCATGGCATCAGAAAACATTTTGGTAAAGCTAAAAAATATACTGGGTCAATTTACGCACAAATACAGAACATGGAATAAAAAAGCAAATAAAAGTAGAATTTCTTGCATTAATCTGAATTTTATACATTAATTTTAAACCAAGGGTAGGCAAAATGGCAGACCCAGCTGGTGGTCAGACTTCATTACCCAGCAGCCCTTGTCTGTGTTGCTGCAATTGATTTCCATAGAGACCCCAGGAGCAGCAGAGCTGTGACAGCATAGGGCCAGGGTTTCCATGGAGATTTACCAAAGAAGTTCTGGCAGGGCATGCAGCTGGGTGGGGAGCTGCTCTGGGACCAGGGCTGAGATTTTGTGGTGGTGAAAGTGTGGTTTAGAGCTGGGGCAGGGCCACGATCTGCTGCTGCACACCTCTGCCTGGGGTGTGCATGCAGTGGACCTAGCTCTGGTCTGTGCTGTCACTGCCAAAAGATCCTGGCCCTGGCCCTGGCCCCCAAATAGCTCCTCACCCCGCAACGCACCCGCCAGCACTGTTTGGACAGGTCTCCATGGAAATCTTTGCCCTGCGCCCTGGTCTCCCATGGAGGCCAGCTGCAGCAACGCGGGCAGAGGCTGCTGAGAAAAGAAATTTGCTGCAAGCCTGATCTGGCCTGTGGACCAAACTTTGCCTGCCCCTGTTTTAGATTTAAATTATTTGGAAGGATTCTTTGTAATCAAAGTATCTTTGCTATGTGAAGCCTCTTACCATTGTGTTGGATGTATTTGTTGCATTGCCTTCTTTAGAGATTCTTCCAACTTTGCAATCTGCATAACATATTCCAAGATGCAATACAGTTCAGTTAGTTTAATATACAATGTGATTGTGAAACACCTAATTTTATAAAGAAGTTATTATGTCTCATGTATTTATTTTTAGATATTATACCTATGTCAGTATATTATGTACCATATATACAATATTCCATATACCATATTTCAATATACTATAACACGCCCAGCAGGTAAATTGGTGGGGGGCAGATTGACCTCAATGGTGAGGCAGGAAATGGGGTGGGGCAGAGGCTGGGGTGAATGGGGCCCCAGCTGGGCTGGATGGCAGGACAATTGGAGCCCAGATGGCTTGTCCAGGGGCACAGAGGCTCCCACTTCTGTGTGCACACTGCTGGAGGCCATGGGGCTATGTCCCTGATCTGGGCAAAGGGTGAAGAAAGCTGCCACTGCATGCTTGGCTTTGTGCCCTGCTGCCTCAAGAGCCATGCAGCACCATGTGTGTCCCATCATGGGGCTGGCAGGGGGTGCGGGACAGACCAGCAGCAGGGGGGCATGTGCCCCCTGGGCCTCCGCCAGGGTGTGCACAGTGGTGGGA